CTCCCTCTTTTCTAAAGAACCCCATCACCAGCATACAGCGACTCACCAAAAAAATTATCAGTCCTTCTAAAAACTTAATTTATAATTATCAAAAAACTAATAGGACTAACAATACTTTCCTGAGCAGTAACATTTTCCACAGGTAAACATGCACTATATTCTTTTAGACTTAGACAATCTTTATTGTCATTTTGTACACACTGGGTGTATACAAAATTAAATTTTGTTCAGTACAGCTTCTTAAAGTACAGCAGTGATAAAATGTAAACGTGGTAATCAATGTAAGACTGAGATATGATTTACAGTTTTTCCAACATTCATGTTTTTTCCCCCGTTTTATTCAACGTTCAGCAGTCTAATGACAGTGGAAAAAAGTTGTTTTGGAATCTGTTGGACCTTTATCGGATGCTTCGAAGCCTCTTCCCAGAGGGCAACGTGGTGAACAGTCCATGGTGGGGTGATGATGAATCATTTATAATGTTACGGGCTTGAGACACGCAGTGTTGATGAAATGTCTTTTGCTACTCTCACAGCAATTAACAATGATATATGCTCCAAAAAGGGAATTTTTATTTAGGAAGTATGACGTCATATACATAGGGTGTGTGGTTGTTCAAATAGACGGTGAACTAATAACACCGAAAGGCATATGATGTAGTAGTAAATTTTGTTTGGGTTCCGGCACATAACGAGATAAAAGGAAATTAAATGGCAGACAGGATGGCTAAGGAGAGTACCAATAAGGTAAGGGTAGATATTAATGTTAGTTTTGGTATAACAGAAATAAAGGGTATAATTAAAGAAAAAGCAAAAGAGAGGTGGCAAAAGTTATGGAATGAAGAAAAGAAAGGAAGGTGGCTTTATAAAATACAATAGAGAATTGGACCAATGAGAAGATCAGAAAGGAACAGGAGAGAAGAGATGATTATTTCTCGACTTAGAATAGGACACACTGGATTGATTGGATCATTATTTTTGATAGGGAAACATCAGACAGGGAAATGTGACAGTAGGGAAGATGAGACTGTGGAACATGTCATTTTGAATTGTAGTAAATATTGGATACAGAGAAACAGTTTAATAAGGAAACTTAGTAACATGAAAACGAAACTTGACATTGTCGATTTATTGCAGAAGGAATCAGGAAGCAGAGGATATATTTGAACGTCAAAAATGAAAAATCAAGTGATGATCAATCCATAAATTTAACAGCAAAACAGAATGAATACAAAGTCATATTCAAAGTCGTTAATCAGACAGACTCTTTTACAAATTGGAATCTGGTTCAACTAACAAAAACCATAAATAAACTTGTTGGAGAAGTCAGAGGTGCCAGAATCCTGTACAGTGGAGATTTGCTAATTAACTGCAGAGACAGCGCTCAGCAAGGTAAAGCAATACGAATCAACAAAATTGATGGGATAAGAGTTCAGCTTAGTGGAAAACAAAAAGATCAGCAGGGGAGTCATTGGAGGAGTTCCTTTAAGAGTGTCTGAAAAAGAAATTCTAGAAAACATAAGTGGTGCAAAAGTAAAAGAAATAAAATGGTTAAAAACAACAAGAAACTGAGAAAGATCTGATAGTTTATCAGTGTTAATTAAGTTCGAGGAAGAGCAATTACCAAGCAAAGTATTCATTGGTTACATCAGCTATAATGTCAAAATCTACAATCCTCCACCATTGAGATGTTTCAAATGCCAAAAATTCAGACACATAGCAGCAGTTTGTAAAGGGAAACAGAGATGTGGAAGGTGTGCAGGAGAACATGAATATGGAAAATGTGGAAAAGAAGCTCAAATCTAATGCTGTAATTGTTGTGGAGAACATACTGCTGCTTATAGTGGCTGTGAAGTAAGCAAAAGGTCTGAGAAAAAAAGAAAAAGAAATTTGAGCTCGGAATTATTTACGATGAAGCTGCAAAAAGGATCCCATCTCAGTTAGAAAAAAACAAACCAACAGTTCAACACATAGCAAATTCAAAACCTCTGGAGAAATGTCCAAAAATTGAAGACTCACTAATTGTTAAAAATAAAGATTTTGTTCTATGCGTGGTCGAAGTTATCAATTGTACTGCACAGACGACAAAAAAATAAATAAATAAATAAAAATAAAAAATAAAAATAATAGTGAAAGCTGCAGAAAAATATCTGGAAGTGAAGACAGAAACCGCGGCAGACCAAACCAGACGAAAGTGCGCATTCAGCGTCTGCTCTGCCGATAATGCAAGCGTAGAAGAAGAAATGTGCTGTTTACCTGTGCAAAGAAAGAAACAACGAAAGAAAAATGTCTGAGGACTTCAGTGTTGAGGAAGAGCATGAGTTCTTTGCCGAGCTGAAACAAATAATTGGACAAATTTATAATAATAATTTAGCAATCGATTAATCGTTAAACGAGACTCTAAAATATGC